AGGTTTAAGATCACGTGTAGCCTGCGCTCTACTGATCTATACATATCGAAGTAAATAAAGCTCTTCTGTGCAGAGAAATCAACAACAATAATTTTTGCTTTTATATTATTATCCAGGAGAGAAGAAAAGAGGGTGGGAAATAAACAAAGGAAATTCTTCCGAAATCATCGGCGTTGTGTTTGGGATTATAATTTTGATTATTTTCATCGTTACGATGATCTTTTGGGTCAGAAGGAGACGTAAAGAGCAAGAAGAATCGTAAGTATTGTTGCTTTGATGTCCAGAGACAGATCCATTGTTGTTTTGCGGGGTGGGGAGGGGGAGAAGGTGCATGCCCGCTGCCGGCTTTTGGGTGGGTGGTGTAAAGCCTGGTTCTCATACGTCACCGACGGTCGGCAATTTGTTATTTTGAATAAATTTTCCTCGTCACCAGCCGCAATCAATACATCGTCGACTGTCGGTGACATATGAGAACCAGGCTCAAGCACTCAGTGTTTTTTTGGGCTGTCTGAATCCCGGGTAAAACTCCTGAGTACACCGAAGTGTTTATATTTAGGTGTTAATCTTTTCATATATAATCTCCCCCAAATTTGAATAATACCCAAATTTTCATACTTTCCGCACCCGCCCTGGCATGATCAACAGGGGGGACACAACCCCTGTATCCCCAGCGAGTCCATCGTGTTAATGTCAATGGCGCCTTGCATTGTATCCTGCGAGGGCGTCTTAATGTTAATCCGAGATTTGAGATAGCAACCGGCTGTGTTTCATAGGATATATCAGGGCGTTTCCAATCACGATTGAATTTCTACTTCCCGTTCTTCCCTGTTTCTGCCAAGTTCATAATTCGCCATATGAAAAAAAGGCGGTATCTCGATCTTATAAAAACATTTTTTGCGAATTTAAATCAGCTAATATATATAAGAAAACAATTTTTTTATATCACATGAATTTAGTGAGGATTTTTATCAAGTTTTGTCAATTTAAATCAGCAAAGAAAACAATTTTAAAACGTTTGTTTGTTAACACAAATTTTACTTAATTTTGATGTCTAATATTATATGCATTTTTATCGTTACCTCTTTATATTCGCAAAAAATATTCTTTGATCCGTGTGCAGGGTGAATTTCGGTAACTTGTGTCGACTTTTTACATGAATTACGGTACATGAAATCAGTATTTCCCTAGCAGGCTTATGTAAACTAGGGTCAGACTATTAAATGGCGCCATTTTGAAGATGAGAAGACAGGAAAAAAAATTCTAATTTAAATTGAACATTTGTTAAAGATATAACAAATCAATCGTGTTTGCTCAACTTTGCAAGTCAGGGTCTTTGTCTGTTTACTTTGGCAAGTTTTATGTGTGAACCTATATGCCTAGCTGAAAGAATTTGACCCTTTGGATGATTAAAAACAGGCTACAGTATTGGCACATATTGCACATATATTAGTGGATTAAACCCGGAAACCTGAAACAAATTTTACAAAACATGATTAACTAGCTGATCTTCAGCTGTTCTGCCAGCTGAATAAGAAGATTGATGGAATAAATCAAAATGTTGTTTATTCTCTAAGATGATAATAGTTTATAGTAAAAAAACCCTGTTTTGATGAAGGCCCTTAGGCCCTGCCTGCACGATGCCGGAAGAATTTGAAAACGCAAAAATATTTATCCGTTAAAATATTTATCAGCGTCCACACAAAAACGATCCGAAAACGATAAAGTTATTTGATCCCGCAATATACCTTCATGTTTTCCACCCGCGTGTCACAGGTTGGATGTCCAATTCAAAGCAAAAATCTACCAAATCCAAAGTAAAAAACAAGAATGAGGACTTTGTTTGGACAGACGACAAGCCCGAACTCATAAATATTGTTGTTGAAGTATCTATTAAATGCATGTCGTGTATAAGAAATTGTGTATAACCATACTCCGACATTTTGGACATGTTTCTCTCGTAAAATACTTCCGCAAATGCTAAAAGAATTGGCGAAGATTTTACTCATTATGAAAATAACCTAAATAAGAATTATTTGAGGCTAATATAGCATTATAAAGTTGAGCATAAGCCACCAGACTTAAAACAAGCCTCATTAATATGGAAACGACTTGCATGATACGTTTTGTCATCGTTTTCAAATTTATCCGGCAGAGCTGTCCACATGCAGGTATCCGCTCAGCCGTCGGTTTCAAATTCTTCCACTCTGGAGAGGGTTTTCAGATTCTTCCGTTTTCAGTGGGCGAAAACGCCGGATACGTGTGGACGATACGCGTAACCGTAAGAATATTCATGCGTTTTCAAATTCGTCCGGCATCGTTGGACGGGGCCTTAATATCGAGAAGCGTTTTGTTTATTTTGAGCATGATGCCAAGTAAAAGTGTGAAAATCAAATCCCTAAAAGTCCAAAATGCTTATCCCTCAGAGAGTTCAAAATCTAAATATTTTCTGGGGAGGGTGTACCCCCTGAATATCAGGCACCCCGCGCAATGCAGAATCTGGAAATTTACCTGTGAATTGAGGTGAGAAGAAGAGTGTGTATTGCAGCGAACACTTCGAGAGTTATCGCCATTTTTAAATAACCTAGTACTCAAACTTCGATTCCCCTCGGCTATAAAGCCAGATCACCGGAGAAATTAGCGACGAATCTTGCCGTGTGCCGTGTGCGTTCTTACTTCACTCATCATTTTTTCATTGTAACAGCTCTAAACTCGTGGATGATGGGAATACCGCTGCTAACACAAATGAGACCGCTGTCAACGTGGAAAAGTAAGATATAACATAAAAAAGATTTCCTCCTTCGTCTGTAGGACTTTGAAGCGCAGGAACAACAGGTCTTTTAGACGTCCAATTCTCTCGATACAATTAACTTCTGATGTTTGGAATGCAGCCCCAGTCAGTCACCTGGTCAACGCGGTACTCGTTTGTCCAATTTGATTGCTTATACTTTATAAGGCAATGGACTACAAAGCATTCATCAGAAGTGAATTGCATCCGACGAAGAAAGGATCGTACTAGCAAACTTACGAAATCCGTTTCAAGATTTCATTTATTCTCGTTGTAATTTTGAGATAATTTGCAGACAACTATGTTTGGCATCCGCCATCTTGGATATGCCTGTCCATTCTCAAGTATGCATGAGTCAGCATGACGTCAAACAGGGCGTAATCTGGCATTGATATTTTCCAATCGCAAACTTGATCGAAGCATATCGAAATCTACACCCAGTCTAGAAACTTTCGGCGAATATCTTAATCCCTTAATTGCGGTTTTTTAAAAAGTTGCCGTGTCTTAGCGTGACGTAATTTGATCAAAATCTTTGAAATGAAAATAACTGGAAAGTTCTCGGAAAATCAAAGCCAAATTTTTTCATGTTTCGAAGTTGACCTCCGGACACGCGAAGAGTTCTGCTAATCCTGATGTTAGACAGATATAGATAATAATAGATTGAGGTCGGAAATATGAAAGACGGCGTGAAAATGGAGAATAAATTGCGTGTCTTGTCTGCGGTGCTGTGGTATTTAAAGCCTATTAGAAAGTATTGTCTCAGTTATACTTATTTAGGTCTAATTCGAAAAGTTTTTCTGAAACGTATAAAGCATCAGCATTGTTTATGTTCATCCTCTGATGTTCATCGATTATCGATATGAAATATGAATAAACCAGTGAAAAAAAACCTGGATGGTTGGTCGATGCAGTGAAATACAAAAATCGCGGCTATTTACCTATTTTTTGGAATTATATATATAGATCAGTGACACATTTAGCCAATCAGACACCGAATGTGGCCGTACCAAGATGGCGGCGAGTAGTTTAAAAACAAAAATTTGAAATGTTCGTGTAAGTTGATGTAACTGACGAGAAACAGAGAATTTTATGATAATTTTTATGCTAAATGCTGTAGAAAAACACAGGCAAAGCTTTACAGCCACAGATATTAAAATCCGTGCACGTTTTTAATCAAAATTCACGATTTAGTATATCGAAAAGTTGATGTATTACTATTCTGCGAACATTTTTATGACTGTAAAGGGTCCACAGTTTCAAGTGAAACGTTAGAAAACGTCCAGTCGGAAGGTTAGAAAACTTCCAGTAAAACCCTCATTTAGTAAAGTTTATGCTTTTATTTATTGCAGTAACGATAATTCAAGACCTGATTACAAAGTAACAACAAGTTTGTAAAACAAGACGATCTTGCCATTTGATATGGCTATTGGCAAGGTAGGATCATGATGTGACGCATAACACCAGCACAGTATACCTCGTTCCCCGAGCCCGCGATTCCTCTGGCGAGAAAACAAGGCTCTGGGATAATCCAATCAGAACCATTTCTGATTTCGATTATCCCAGAGCCCTTGTTTTCTCGCCGGAGGAATCGTGGGCTCGTGGAACGAGATTGAGTATAAGTTTATACAGTAGGCCCACGTATGTTGTCCTCCTATTAGGCCATAACTATTACTCTGGCCAGTCAATGACAAGTTAATTAGTTTTCGTCTGCTCAAAAAAACACGCATCATTTAATGAACTGAAATATAGTGTTTGATCCAATTAACACAATTCATTCAGTTTGTTATTGATAAAGCAGTACTGCGTTGGCTTTGTCGATCTGCTCGCAATATACATTCTAAGTCAACAGACTATAAAACATCCATCAGAAGTGGACCTAACAAAATTGAATCTGGTGAACAGACCTTTATAACATAGTGGTTCTACTGTATATTTCTTATACTGTGCGCCCGATTAGACGAGAATTTAATAAGGTTGACTACAACAATAAAACGATAGTTAAGTATAAATGACCTAATGTTAAATAATGGCTGATCACTTAAACTTATGTATAGTTTTAATAGGTGCACGATTATTTTATACTTGTGAATAACAAACAACAATAGGCATAATATTAACCAGACTACCATTTACACCCATTGCTCTTCTGTCTGTCATAGCTAGTTAAATAACTTTCTTACACCACATCAAAAAAAGTTTATGGTCAACAGTTTATAACCCAGAAATTTATTATAATATGTATACATAATGGTTTTAATCATTTTATGATAATAAATAGAAATTATAATCATCGCGGCTTCCAAGTAATTGCTGTGTGTTTTGATGGTACGCTCCGTTTATTTATTTTGCTTGCAAGCCAGGAATTTTCGCCTGCGGTACCAGACGACCTTAATGCAAAATTGATTTTGAAGTAATTGTCGTGCTGGGCAGAATACGGTCTAAAATCAGGATCCCACTGAGCTATAGACATAGCTTTTTCTATGGCAAAACGTGGTATGATCGCGTGTGTTTATTTATTTGTTGACCACTACAAACCACATGCTGTTGTAACACAAACCTTTGCGCTTAGTTTTATGTGGATTTAAGTATTCGTTGAATGACACGAGCGACCGCTCTGTGATTTAATTCATTTATTTATCAACACCCTTAACTATGGGGAGGTAATTTGTAAATAATGTGAATTGTATTCCCAATCCCTGTCCGGGTATATAGGCGGCCTTCATGCGATAGGTTTTCTGCACTGTTAAAAAACACTTGGGTGGGGGTTGTATGAAGTCTCGGATAGCCCTAAAAAAACTTTTAAACACTTGTACAACCACTGTAGAAGTGCTTGAAAAGTAATAAATTTAGTTAGCAATGAAAAATGAGAAACTACCATGTAAAGTAAAGTTTTTTATGAAACTTCGGGCAATTTTGAACGATTGAAGAAAACGAGAGCTTTCGTTACAACGGGACCCTGCAGCGTTCTCATTCTAATTGATATTTGTTTGCGTGTACAATAAGTGGCTCGTTCGATGGCAAAGTTGTGAGTATAGATAAAATTCCTTCTTAAATCGCTAAAACGTGCCTTGAGGCGTGTTGTGTCTAGTGAAATCACTTGAAGCACATCATCCCATCTAGATGCGTGCATGTTGTCATTTTTATCGCATTACTGCATCGTCTGCATGCATATTGCATGCTGAAAAGCTATTTGGATATTTCAATATGTATTTGAATCAACACTTAAACTACTTGTTATAATCGAGGTCTATACAAAGAAATATTAGACCAGGATCTTTTTGTACAGACCAAGCCAGTAGGGCAAGCAAATTCTGCCTTGTCTAGCAAATCAAGCCTGTTTTCCACTATGTGGAATTTTGCGCGCGGAGCGAAATTTTTCTGTTTTTGTCACATTGGGGTTGTTTGTCACATAAGGACTGCTTCGCGCACAAGATTCCGCGTAGTGGAAAACAGCAAGGGCTGTCGATGGGCCGCCGAAAAACAGCGAGCGCAAATAATTTGCAAATGCCAAGCTGAAATAGGCCAGCTTGTCAATCACTGCTTTGGTTCCCTCAGATATTTTTAGCACGTCTTCTACGTAAAACCTAGGAATTTACCTGGATGATGAATGAAACTTAACTTCCAGCTGTTATCACAGAACTTTTAGCTTTTGGACCTGACCTTATTCTAGACAAAATAGAGAAAGTGCTTCTGACACGAGGTTTCATCACCACATATGTTTATGGTTGCATTGTAAGTAACACTAAAATTAAAATGACTCAAAATTAATAACTCCTTTCACACAATTGTGGTTTCGGATCAGACACTTTAAAAAGTCTCTTTGTTGTGATCTAGACGAGAACGAGGAAATATAGTTATTTGACCATCAGCGACTTATTAACTTGTTCACATATATCTAAGTCACATCTATATCTAAAGAAGAAAATCGCATCTGAAATCGCAACAAAAATTGCATGTACATTATATTATATATAAATAACAGTAGTGTTCTTGAACGGTGCTTTAATTGTTTCATCGATGCATTTCATTTTAAGATCTGTTCACACGATCCAATTTTGCTGGATCCAATTCACTTCGTATGGAATTAAATCAGTTATTCCAAAAGCAGAACTTCGCTGGTGTAAGTTGATTTGCTGCCCACATACATAGCAAGTCAGCAGACTATAAAACATCCATTAGAAGTCATTTGGATCCTACAAAGTTAAATGACTTGGGAACCCTGTAGTTCATATATAAACATGCATATGATGTTAAACAAACTATATCATTAGTGTTTCAACTCTTTGCCTAAATGCAGTCTCACCCGACCTCGCTCCTTATAACAACAACACAAGACAGTTTGCATTTGTAATCGTATCATGTCATCTGCTTTGTATTTTCCGGGCGGCCATTTGAATGGTTCCTACTTAGATCTAATCTACCGCTTCGAAGATGTCTAAAGAGGTTCTATACGTTTCTAGTTGTTGCTGTAAAAGAAAAGATATTTCCTTGATAGTAACTTTGTACCAGGTGCATAGGAAAATTTGCTTCATACATTTACTCTTATTAGCCCACCCATGGATATGAAATAAATTGCTGTCGTAAATATAACAATTTAACCTTTGATTGAAATTCGTAATCCCGAGGGTATTTCGAATATGCCAAAGTTTCTGAGCATTTTTTGCAATAACATTATATATACTTTGTCGTGACGTTTAGGGGCTTGTTTCTGAAATGACCAGATTCGGAAGTTTTTTTTCTTCTTCGCTTTTGTTTTTAAACTTTTAACTACCTTTTAAAACCCTTGCGGCCTTAACTGAAATTTGCAATGCATTTTAAGCGTCCTGCGCTTGAAATATTTGCCAAAATCGAGTGGAATACTGAGAGATTTCATTGTAGTATGACGTTATATATATATATATTTGTTTGCTCGTCAAGTCAAACTTTCAGCTGTTCTATTGCTTGCTAAACGTGCAGTCATTTAGGCACTTTGTGACGTCATGGTTTGCACTCAAGGCATGAATTCATATTCACGTTCGTAAACAATTCATAGCCCCACGTAGAGATTAAGCTTAGCTCGGAATTTGACACGTTTACAAATCCGACCTCATTAAGAATATTCCAGCTTCAAAATCGGGTGACCAAATTCAATAGGTTACGTTATCCCGGCTTCGTACGCACCAGTGTATCACACGCAACGAACTGTACAGAATATCGGGCCGTGGATCTTCACCAAAAGTCTTGTCCTCGCTCACATTCCAGACATAACCTTTTGATTAAATGAGCTTCAATTTCTAATGCATGCGAGGAGTAATGAGATGGGCGAACATCGAGAAAAAATGGAAACGCTCGAAGACTAGACTCTTACAAGGTCCCGCTATCACTTGCTCTGTCGTAATGCTATGTAGTAAATGTGGGGAACCCGGTTATATTGTTGTTTTTCCATCAAAAGTATAACCACCCTATTATATATTGATATCAGGGCAACAAGCTTCGCACCTTAATCCCCCCACTTTGGTTTCAATATAAGATAAAAAAGTGACATTTTCCGGGTCCTAATCACGGAATGCTTAACCTTGTAATGATCTGCAGGTCATATACGTGCAAAAAATCAGCATCACAAGACAACAACCCACGCGTCATTCGGCCGTTTGAAAATCAGTCAGTTATATTGTAAACTACGCATAGACGGAATATGGCGGAAATACCGTCATACGCCTCAATAAACCACGACACCGGAAGCAGTTAAAAGAAACTTTAGATGGCCAAGTTCCTTATGACAATATGACAAGGAACTGATATTTAAGGAATAGTAAAACTGAGAGGTCGCTGCGATTTTTGCTGCCATTTCATGTGCAAATTTCTTTTGATCGATGTGAACCAGCGGATAAGTTACTGTTGGTCGAATAGGGGCACTACACATCAGAACATTCGAAATTACTCACTTGTTTAGATCTACCAAAATAAGTAAAAAAAATCGAACGTAAAATGGGCCTTTATTCTTTATCTGTTTACACTTGTGACTTTTGCATCTTTCGACAGATGCGAATTAGTGAACAAGTTACTGATGCTCAAATATAGGCATTAATATATCAGAGCATTCATATAACTCCTCGCTCTTTCACATCTTTCGAAAGTAGAAAATTGCAAGTCTAAACGGACATTTACAGTCAATCCTAGGATGTTTTCTCGCGCAATGCTGCGAAGCACATTCGACAATTCAAATGTGTATTACCAAATTGCCCGAATGTTCTGTTTCCAAGTTCATCAATTATCCAGTCATAATCGCAATTTGATTGGATAATTTATGTGCACGTCATGGGAACTGAAGATTTGAACCTAACAACGAACATTTGGATTTTCTAACGAACTTCAGGACGGGACATTACAGCTAGGAAACGTAAAAAATATTTCGAAATTGACTGTCTTATCAAATAGGAATCGAACTATCGAAACCTGCTGGCTGACGTTCTCTGAGAACACTCGAAGCTATTCCGACAGGTGTTCCTGTTTTTAAGTATTTTAAGAACATCAAATGTTTTTTCAAAATAGCGTCGTTTAGACTGCTCACGAGTCTCACAACTTTAACAAATTTCACATTATTTTGACATTCCATCCATGCATACTACGTGTGCGAAAATGCAAGGTGGTGGCAGGTGTCGTTTTACTGACCACTTTTTTGCATAAATGTCTCACGAAATTCGAGGCAGGATGCGATGAACTTGAGGTGTACTTTACTCTACTGTTTATTTTTACATTTTCCACCTGCCCAGTGACACATAGAGTTCATTTTTTACCCTCTGTGGGCTGGAAAATTTTTTAAACCGTTTCAGACATTTCACAGGTGTTTTTCATCCCGAAACGCGCACTTGCGAGAAGGGACTGGGAGGAATATAGAAATTCACAACGCTGCAGTGCTAAATATAGTAACAAATGAAAGATAACGAAGATTCAAATTTTCCATAATTTCGAGCCAAGGAGAAAAGTTACATGTGATTAGTTTGTCACAAAGCATGCATGCAAACGCTATTAGATCAGAAGTTTAATAAATTGAAACGTACTTCAAATGAGATATTGCAATGCAAAGCCGTACATTGATATGTAAAACAGTGTTACAGCTCTGCTCGTCGTTAACAACTACATACACTCATCTCGTCGAGTCCTAATTAGTTTCTTCAAATTCCCCCTGACCCGCTGGTATCGTATAATTATCCAACTTCCATATGTAATTTACTCTTCAAGATACCCCAAAACACAAGTTTCCACCGATAAGATTCGAATGAATACGGCATTTGCTACCGTTCCAGGCTAGACGCTTCTAACGGAATATTGATCTCCAATTAACAGCCTTTGATCTCGCCTGCCAATAGTAATTAATATTGAAAATTATTTTCAAAGTAACGCTTTTACGCCCGTTTACACTTCTGGTTTTTGCTTCATTTTTATGTGCGATTTTCTTCTTTGGAGAGATGTGAACAAGCGAATTACTTACGTGTGTTTTAAAACGAGCTCCTATACATCAGAGCATTCATTACTAATGAACCGTTAACATCCATCAAAAGAAGAAACTCGCACCAAAATCCTAGCAATATTACAAAGTGTAAAAACGAGCCTCAAGGCATGCATTCTTAACCTGTCTCGTTTGATATTTAATTATGCAAGAATATATAGATAAATTCCCTCTTTTATTTCTTTGAATTCTTTCTAGTTGCGTCTGTTTCATCTTCTCTTTTCTCCACATTGGACCTAAAGTACATTCCAAAATATTTCTAAAGCAGAATTGCATTTGAAATAAATAACTTTTATCTCTTAAGTCATCTCAAGCGGTAACCGGTTTCAGAAATTTCTCCGACGTGTCTAAGGGAGTTTTTGACAATTTTATGACGACTTTATGAAAGTAATTTAAAATCCATTAAATCGGGTTTTCATTGATAACTAAACCCAAAGTACTTTTCATTAAGTTGTTTACGCGTCGCTCAGAAGTGTTCGTTGTAAAATGTGCCTTTGCAATGCCGAGAACTTTTCTATCCAACGAACCGCATGTCTATTAAACCTCGGGAAGTCGAGGTTGGTTCATCGCGTCCCTGTTAAGACAGACTGTCATTTCCAGCAAACAGCTGCTGACGTAAGCACGCCCTCGCAAATCATATCAAATGAGACAATATGTTGGCATGGAATGTTAACTTTCTATTATGCTTAGTAGATTATATTTATTGAGTTTTATTAAAATGTCAAAATGGATAGGAAATAATGAAACATCGTATTTCAAACGGCGGGCGGTTTGGGCCGAAGTTGTGGACAAATGTCAAATATATACACTCGTGTGTATATACTATAGAGTATAGAGTTGCATCATTGAAATTTTTTGTTTATTTGGCAGTCGGTCTGTCCTGTGCTCTGAGTCACTGAATACACACGGTTAAACCTATGAGAAATTCATCATTGTTAAAGCTGCATTAACTACGACCTATAGGAAGTATTTAATAAATAACACAAACTTTATGCTGTATATTAAAATCCTGATCAATCCGACCTTTAAACAACATTTGCTAACTGGTGTTTGTCGGTACCGCTGCATGCAACTGTTAAGTGTAGCTACGTTTTGACCAGTGAAAACATGCGGTCGTTCCAGCACGAGTAATTGGCTTTTCACCCTTATTAACCAGACATATTACACATTCCTTAGTAAATACCATAGTATATAGGTCTTTCACACCATACATAGGTTATGGTGTTTTTAAACATATGGCAGTAATTGCTACAATATAGTTACATATTCCTTTGTTGTTTTAAAATGTATTTTCAACCAAAACGCAACATATACCACATACCTGTTTAAAGGGCCTCTGTGGCTTTGTAATGTCTATACGTTGTCGCTAGGCAACGATAAACATTGGCGCACTTCAAAATTCCTCCTCTTGGCAAATGACCCGAACCTGACCTCGGAAATAAGACCGACCAATCGGAATACAGATCGCTGTTCTCGTCACGCACCGGAGCGGTCTCGTTGCCAACACGTCGGCCAATCAGATGCGGCCGTTTTGTTTATAGCCAACACCGGGACGGACTTTATATATAGTTTCATCTATCAGAAAGCTCTGCTACCCATTCTTAGAGTATTTTCACGGCAGTGACCGCCAGCACCGAAGTGAAACCAGCTGCCGGTAGAGTTTGGCAATTAATACTCTTGTCAGGACGTATTTATTCGCTGAATATATTCATTTACGCCACGAAAACAGTAGTCGCGCAAGGTATTTTTCGAGCAAGGGATTTGAAACTTGATCTTCAAAATCGAGTGCGGTCGTTGCGCTGGACATTGGTCTCCAAAGATTTGAATTCGGGACAACTAGCACGTCTGACTTCAACTGGACAATTTTCAGGTGCAGAGCCGTGTTCAAAATTCTGGAGTCTCCGTAAATATATGTCGTGGGATAACGCTTGCTTTGATTAAACACCTCTTGAAGATTATCGCGGGTTTTAACAAGGATTCGTAACAAGTACAGTATTTCTATCGATTGACAACCCCCGAAAATATCGTATTTTGTACTGTATCTATATATAATATCGCTATAGCATCGCCACTTTTGTCGTTTGCGCGAAGGGACAGTCGATATGAGTAGTTTAACGTCAAGAAAGACGTCTCACATTGCGGAGAAGTTCGCTCAGAATTGGAAGGAACGGCGGCCCGAAGCTGAAGCGACAGGCGAAGAAGGTGAACTGGATGACAGCCTTACGAACTTACAGTGGCTGAATAATATCACAGTCCTAGACATCACACCTGCCGGGCTTGCGAGTGAATCATCACCCTCAAGCAGTCCAAGATCTTCTGAAGATGACCTTGCTGAAACATCAAGCGAGAAATCAGATCCCGAGGTATTAAAACAGGACAGTAAGATTGATTACATGTCGGACCCGCACAGAAAACCACCATATTCCTACGCTACGCTCATCTGTATGGCGATGAGAGAGACGAAGAAGAGCAAGATCACTTTGAGCGCAATATACAAGTGGATTCGAGAAAACTTCGTCTACTATCGACACGCCGATCCGACTTGGCAGGTATGAATGCTCTGTTATATGTTATATACATGTATACAAATATAGTATTCAGTCTGCGAGGGTATTAAAACGGGGTAAAGAATTTCCTTGGTGAAAACTGAAATGTTTGTCTAGACATTTTGTTCTGCATCATCGCGGAACCGTGTTAGTGAAGATTTTAATTGAAACAGTATGTTCAACTTTCGCCCCTTCAACGATATCCCTACGTTTCCTTCGAGATTTAATTAAATTTGACAAATTTTTGAAAGTTTGTCTACAATACAGTCCAGCCGAAAAATACTAACAATACTCTATACGCTATATGCTATACTATATTTTCTGATCCGTCTTATTTCTTCGGAATCCTTTCCAGGTAATTTCAATTCGCCCCGTGTATTAAAAAGATTAATGATTAATGTCACCGACCATATAGATGTATTTCAAAATTAGTTCAGACAGGCTACGTAAATATTCGTTAAATATCGTATCTGAATAGTAATATACATGAATTAATATAAATTAAAGCAATAGAATAACTTGCATTTTAAGTTATTGCGACAAGGATTTGTCGGCTACGCAGTATTTGTGCGAAAGACCGAAATGCCGGGTATATATATTCGTGCTTTTTATCTTGTTTTGCTTGTTTTACGAGTACAGACATTTAAATTTATTTATCGAGCAACGCTGTGTAAATATTAACCTGAAATCGGACATTTTTCTAGTCAGTACAAACAATACAACCGATCCCCCACCTAGAGTGGCTTTGCTATTGGCTTGGAAAAACTATACGACACCCAAACATTTGCGGAAACGAAGGTATTAAATGGTTTATCCCGTATAAATCCGAGGCCGCGACGTTCAATTCAAATGTGGGGAAACAGTGTTTCTGTCAATTTCGCCCTATCTGAGAGTGCTGTGACGTCTGCCCCACATACGGCGCGATTATACCGATAACTAGTCCTTGTTAATTTGAGAAGCGAGACAAACGCGTGGCAAAGGAAATTCAGTTGTGATTCTTCATAAATACATTTTCAGACCTGGCCCTTAGGGCGCTTGCACGTTCGAGACTGTAGTGTTTTCGATTCAAATCGTCTCATTACTGATTCATTATGAATAATAGATTATGAACAGGTAACTGTATTTAAATATAATTACAGAAATGTCTTTCTATGTTTAAAATGCTAGCAAATTTCGCTTTGTTATTAATCCTATGCTCTATTCTTTTGCGGTATATATTTTTCATGTTTACGCTACAAAGAAAAATTGCTAGCTTCGTTTAAAACGCATTTCATTGGAATTAAATGGCATGTGATAATTATTGGAAGACATGCTGTTTATACTGCTTAGCACATTTCGAAAACATACGCAGTCGTCTACGGTCTATACCATCGTCTAATCGGTTTTCTTCTACGAGAAATTGGCGTTGCAATAAAGTCAGGTCTGCTTGAAAGCTGTTCTTCTGAAAGCTGTTCTCCTTCTGAAGTCTGCTAGCCAATGAAAAATTATTTATACTAACCGAAATAGGTTACATATGGTTTAGAAATTAGTTTTTGTTTCTGACACTTACAAACAAACCGTTCATTGACATTGCCCGAATTTACATCGACAATCGCATGTAATTCGCCAATGAAATCTATTATTCTCCCGTGTAACAGTATATATATATATTTACAATGGTACATCTTTCAGATATCTAACGATGCCTTCGTTTGCGGCCGACAAGGTCACATATTGTTTATGAATTTAGTTTTCTACAAGTGTTAATAATAATAAGTGTACGTTGGCGTCTAATTTTGCATGATAATTTTTTAGGCGTTGAGAGATGAAATCGTGTGATTATTTAGGGCCCACAGGATGTGTCATGATTTGTATGACAGATTAGAATACAGGATGTTTAGGTTTCTCTTGTTAAACACGCATTGTTTCAAACATTAATCCACAGAAGGTGGTCGAATCAATTATTAAAACCCCAGCCTTTACGTACGAAAAGCGCACGAACGGCTACAACTTTCGTAATTTTCTGTAAACCACCCCAGTATCTTCATATTTTCTTAATCTATGCTTGTCCTTTATCTGTGTTGATTTCTTTCTAGTTTACGAAAAAAACACGTAATACTTCATTCAACAATCTGTTTCTTATTATGAATTTTTAATAAGTTACAAACCTCGTGTTTTTGACATACAGCACAAATAGGCTTTTGCGGTTTTGTAATGGGCAGGCTTTTAGTAAGAACCGTTGTATAGATGAAAATATATGAAGACGTTCATGTCTTCATGTGGGCCTTTCTTTTGATTCGCGATAGATACTGTGTAATTTTCCTTTGCAATAAAGGTTGAGTAAGTTGACAGAATATTTATTAGGTAATAAGTGCATGCAATTAGGACTTCGCTATTATCCCTTCCGATACGGCGATGGCAATATAATTCAATAAAATGGAAATTTGGCAACTTCACAAGAAATACAGAATCTCTGTATCACTCGTGTGTTTATTGTATACTTAACTAGATGCAATATATCATTCCACTCAGATTAAATATTAAATGCTCGCGCTAAGCGGTCTTGTAAAAATATAATGCTCGTTGATGTAGCTATTTCCATATTTGGTAACAACCGTTGTTCCCTGTTTCTATATAGAGCCTGGTGATCTCTAGTACAACTGGAGCGAAACAGGCGTTTTCTAGTTAACATTTTTAGTCTTAACACTAACACTGAGTGTTGTACAACATATCAAAATGAAGCTGCTAATTATTGCACAAATTCCAAGCTTTCGTCCGAAACGAAATATTTTTTAAGCCTCAAAAATATTTGCCCATGATTTATATTTTTCAAATATTTATCTTTTTGCTTAAGAGTTAAGTCTTTAAATCTTTACACCGAATAGCGATTTTCAAGAGCCTCAGTTTAGTGTGTACAGGCCAAAGTGTGAAGACAAGTACTCAGCTAAAAACTCAATGGCAAATACGGATGTGATTATCAACAGTTACTCCAGTTGTATTGAGTTCACCGTTCTTTCAAATAGGACGATTAGGCAACGCCATTTTGATTTTTCATTGCAATAAAAACTGTTTTTTTGCGCTCACTCGGATATAGTAATATAAAATGAAATTTTCACACGCCTTGCCGAACTTTAATTTAAATCATAAGTTTTAATTGATTCCATGTAGTTTTTCCCAAGCCTTATTGCCGCCTTCGCCAGAATTATTACTGCCATTACCCGAGTTATTACTTTAATTTGAGCGCAAAACGACCGCCGTTTTAACTGAAGTGTTTAATTCATGTATAGGCCACTGGAAAGGTTTAATTATAAAACCCTAGGAACAGCGAATGGAACGCATGTTTATTTTTAATAGGTTCTTCGGGTGAAACTATTATTTGCCGTTGAAAAAGGCTATCGTCTGGTTTTGGGTGAAATCTTCACAGAACATGTTTTTCAATGTCGATTTTTTTATTTCATTGTATTTTGGAAGGGTTGATAAGTTTATGTTTACGCAAAAGAAGCATTATAAATCTGAGCTTATTCATCAAGTACAAGCATTCCTGACGAAATTCCTCGTCTAGATTCATCACTCAGTACAACTGAAAAAAATAGCGTACAAAACAAACAAAATGCTTTTTTAAAGCATTTAAAGTTTTGTCAAGTGACTTATAACTTCCCCAAAACTACCCCCTCTGCCAAATGTAGAATAAATCGCCTTAAAAACCATTAGTATACCCTTGTCTCTGAAACAATTGTGCATTTTTTTAACATTTTATAAATACTTGATAATTTAGCTTTCTTTGGAATAAATTCAAAATAAATGCTTTGCAAGTGGAAAAATATTATTGTCTTCATTGACATTGACATTGTCATTAGTTACAAGCGATGCGGAGTGGAGGACAGAATCGTACGACGAATTACGATAGTAAGACTGGGGCTAGGCCTAAAATTTCATTTCCTCCAATTCCTCGGCTTCCGCAGATAAACAACTTGAACCTTTTCCAAGTTTTCTTGTCTGTTCAGTTTGATTAAATTCCGGTTTACCGAAGTGCAGGGTCTTAAATAAAACTCCCAACAGCTCCAGCTGTTCTGTATATATTAACCGTCGATGTCGCTCTCATGTCGAACTTAATCCCCCGAGTGTAAATATTCAATTCAATACACAATGCTTTCTGTCAAATATGACATACTAATGATAAATATTGACTCAAAAACTGAATTCAGATGTTGTATAAACGACGCGAGAGGAATTATTTGGTAATAGATCATTCCATTTCAATCAAACGCAATGAAGAAAAAAATATCTAAGAAAAGTAATTGCTAATCTGCTTTCATGCTTTTAAAATATTCTCTATAAGTAGCTTTAATGAAATTAAATTTATCAAGGCCCCCAATGCCCAGCAGGATATCTTAAACTTTTCGATTTATCAATAAGCCAACCGAAAGGTATAAAGCAGGCCTCGTTTTTTAATATTTATTTTTTTTTCAATGTTTATAACACATATATTAGCGCCACGTATATTCGCTTTTAATGGCTGTACCCGAATATTTTTGTGTCAAATTGTAGGTAGTAATAGTAGGTAATAGCAAAAGTACCGTATTTCCATTTCAGACAAGTGTCTGCTGTTGTGCTAAATTAAGAAACAGCGGGCCTGGAAGACCTTCAATTTAATATCCATTGTTGATTGCAATGTCGTGTTGAAAGCACCTGCATGTATTTTAAATCCTTGAAGACAGTGGCTTTCAAGCAGCTGGGTGGGGGGATAATATGAACGAAGAACTGAATATCCTTCGCCCGGAGAACTTAATATCCTTCGCCCTTCAAACAAAAATAGAGTATAGATAATAGTAAATGTTGGAAAGGGCCATATTTCCAATGGTGCATGGGTCCAGAGTTGAAGCAAATAAATTACACGACTTAATTTCATACATTCGAAGTACATTATGACAACAAACACTATTGGATATGGCTTTCCGAAGAATATTTGTGAATATAAAGAGATGGAAAATTATGGGTTGTAGTTATTTATTCTGCCTTACCCAGGATCGGCTACTGAATGGTTAGCCCCACCCAAGATTATTTGCTTTGCCCACTCTAGAACTTAACCCTGGGTTAAATTTTAACCCGGTGTTTTAGTTCGTATGCGGTTTCTGTCTCCCGGTATTCAAACGGAAACAAATTTCTCAAGTTCTTCATAATAATCTTTTCTTTGCAGAACTCGATCCGTCATAATCTTTCGCTAAACAAATGTTTCGTCAAAGTAGCCAGACGCAAGGATGAGCCAGGAAAAGGCGGCTTCTGGAAGATCGATCCGGCATACGCCGACATGTTTGTCGATGGCGTCTTCAAACGACGTCGGAGCTCTACGAAGGCCTCACGAAAATCTACGAGCGCTTCCAATAAATCTGTTCGAAGCAAGTCAACCTCGAGTCTTCCAACAAAGCGCCCGGCCAACTGGAGCGATCTTGCTTCAGACACCAAGAGGATACGAGTTGAACGACCTAGTTTGAACTATTATCGCCATAATGACGTATTTGATTCATATTTCGAAGAAGAAATCCCGCCATTCACCGGGTGCCTGAAACAAGACCTAAATTGGAATTCATTCCTGGCCGAAAGTGAGGGTGAAATCAGCTTTAGGGACGCATTGGATAGTCAGGGAATAATCATTGATCATAACTTTCGTGTAGTTAATAGTCCCTTCACAACCTTCACACCTGCTACCCCACCACACAACGATGTTTTTGTACCCGAGGACAATTTAGATCTGACAATACACGGGGTAGGGTTACTTACCCAACATCGTATGCCCCCCTCGCCGCCACGGATGACAAGTGACCACCCCTGGGCTGAGGAACCACCTCACGACGTCATGGCCTCGCTGGATTTCCTCGTAAATCACGACTTGGGTTATTGAGAATCCAGTTTTCGATCACTGTGTGAATTTTTTTTGCTTGTCTTGCTCATCCCTGGGAGCCTGGACTGAATTATGGCATCGTTGATATGATGTCACTGTCATGACGTCACTGGTGATGTCACATATGTAAATAGCCGCTGGTTTTTAAAAATAATGCGCATGCGCTGTAATCAAAGAATCAGACATACCTTTCCTCTTTTCTGCGTCCTTCGAGCCGAAACTTTTAATAAACGATAGAGAGTAATTGAAATTAATTGTTGATATAAACTTGGCAAATCCATAGATAAAATGCTATTGTTGATACACTATAATACTGTAAAGACTAAATGCTACGTGATATACAAACAAGCTACTATTATTATATAATGCACTGATTTTTTTAACCAAACTGCACGCATTCTTGTAGATAATGTATTTATAGTTGAATATTTTGGCTTTGTAATTAATATAGTCTTAAGTTATTGAATTACTATCTGTACTAACATTACCTCGTTTTACAATAATTTATTGCGAAATCGACCCGTTTTCCTCTATGTTTCTCAGATTTATCTTGAAATAGATAATAATTCCATTTTCAGTAAATCCTAAATACATGAATTTAATCTTTGAGATTATGTCAGGATTGGAGTTAGATTAAGGATTAGCCTTGAGCTCTTGACCCTAATCAACCATAAACCTAAGACCTAATCTTAAGCTTGCTAAGATTTGTTACTATTGTTTCAATTTGTTACTCTATTTCAATTCAAAATAGTGAACATGCACAATTCAACGAGAACGAACGAGTAGCCTCATTAACCGAGCGACTCATTTGTCTGCAGTCGTTTAAACTCGCGTGGCTACTGGATGAGACCTTAAATATGAATTTTCGACAACCACTTAGACGAATGTGATAATTTTATTCCGTTCCAAGCCGATTAGCATAAACAATTCACTGACAAGGAAGAAATAAAACTTCAAACCCAGACGACTTTAAGCAATGCACTCTTGAGTTGAGAGTTCTGTATAGCCCTTTCCTTGTTATGTAATTAAATGCTTTAAAAATAGTCTGCAAACAGCTTTGACTTTGCTACGGACAATGCCTCCTCCTCAAGTTGTAAGGTTAGGAAACAAAGAAAGGAGTACAGGGTGTCTCAAAAAAACCGCAACCACTTAAACATGCAAGAACATGCATTAATACAGCTCTAAAGTGCACCTCTGGGAATTGAAAATGGCTCTTAATCCTTCATTTACAATGCTAAAAGTCTTTTTAGCTGAACTATGGTGCAAACCCGAACAATATTAATATTCTTGCATATTATTTATGTGGTTGCGTTTTTTTTTGAGACACCCTGTATAATTTTAAGGCCGTAAGGGCTACCAATTTGTTAAAACGCTCAATTATCAAGGCGGATGATTGCCACAAAGGTTTTATCTCACCGTTCAATATTATGTAGTTTTCTTCCGATATTTCAATACTTCCTCTAATCGCAGGTAAGTATACAGAAAATAAAACATTTAATAAAACTGTCAACAAGTCATCTAGTGCAAAGCAGTCAAGGTTGTTTCTAAGTCATCCATTTCAGAAAACAATAGTGTTGCTTTGAAAACACTTAAACCATATGAATGTATATAGGGATGAATCATCAAAGAAAACACAGCATTATTATGGCATGGCTATTCAATTTATTTGTAAAAGGTCGAGCCAAACAAAAATTGCATGATTAAACATGTTAATAATTACAGAGAAATCCATTGAGTAAAATATCGCTACCCGCGTAAACGTATGAACCGAAACCCTAACATCAAATGTGTAATGGTTGAACGAACATTATTTTCATTATCCAAAAATTAAGGTCCTTGTAATTATTATTTATAAATGTATACAAGCAGTTTGGCACAAATGTGTTTTGTTTTATACTAACATAACCCTTATTAACATAACTGCATAGTCGTTCGTTCTCGTTGAATTGTGCATGTTCACTAATACGACCGGACCCAATCTGACCATTTTGGCCACTTAATTGAAAGCGCCCTTAGGCACGGTACCAATTTTAGCTGTGCCGTGCCAATAAATTGATACACTATTAAATTCTCGTGTTCAGAGGTGAATCCCTGCACGACCAAGTAGCGCTTCCTTTAAGTGGACATTTTTGGGAAGCTGTCCAGGTCAACTCGCGCTCATATTGTAGCCAATTAGCGCCCAGAAAGTTTGTCAAAATAGAAATCCCCATTTTGTCGTATTAAATCAATTATATCTTTTGTTATTATTTAATAGAACCAATCAAAATCTCGTGATCAAGAACTATAGCTGGGACATAAATTTGAAACCGAAATAAAGTATATATCAAGGGATAATAATCATATTATAAAGTTGTTTAAACTTTTAACTGGGAAATGTTTTTTGACAACTAGTCCCAGCTCTTTCGCAAGGAAATAAGAGAAAACGATATTCCAGTGTTTTAATAGTTTCATATAGGTCAGTTGGTGGATTAATTAATAAGGATTTTAATCTCTATGGGATTAAACGAGGAGGCGTATTTGGGTTTGTCTTGGGAAGGATCGCTGTTTACAAATTTTCCGTTTGAACATTTCATTTCACTTTTATTGCTTTGTTTTATTTTAATTTGAAAACCGCATTGTATTGCAAATCGTGCATAATTGTGTGTTTCATCACTTGACTGAAACCGTCGTAATATTTAACATATCTTTTGTGACGTCCATTAGTCTCAACTTACATGTCGAGCTGCACGTCGAAGCAGAAATAATTTGTAAGAAATCTTTGGATTTATAGAAAAAACCTCATTCATGCTACAACCATGGCTAGAGCGAGACTTATCTTTCGTCAGGTATGCAAAATATCAACAAAATATATTAAAAATTTGGAGAAAACTCGAAATAAAAAATAATATACGTAATAAATTATTGGCTTAAATATATCATAAATGCCTGCCTTGTTGTATTCTTTTGGTTGAGAAAAAGACGGACAGTAAATTTCGTAGAAACTATATTATCTTTTACTGTCAAATTCTGTTGTTTATTGCAACATTTATATGTCACTAATTGCCACATTTTAAACTAATTTTGGGATCGTTCATTCAAGCTGTTAGACTCTCAATCTTCAACGTACAGTTACATTCTTGGATGTGCAAATACCAGAAAAGCTGTAATCATCGACCCAGTTGATACAAAGGTTGGTATAAACAATACTATGCTTATTACACAAAACTCCACTGCCAAGGAATTGGCCCAGCTCAAACAAATTCCAAATTTAAGACTCAATTGAGTTTATTTCACAAGACCTGATAAACCCCCCTAATATATTGTTTCAATTTGTAAATGAATTAATATTAATCCTGTTCAACATGAGTAAATTGCAACTTACTTTTTAAGGCATTAACATGTTGTATACAACTTGTGTTTTATTGCTGTATTGAAATTACATTATAATAATTGGATGTAAGCTTGACTTAATTGTCATTATAGGCCTCCAGAGATTATCAGCTACTTAAAGAGTTAAACCTGGACCTTCAATATGCTGGTAAGAAAAGTTAATTTATTAACTATTATTAAGTATTATAGTATATATTATTAGGTTGTTCTAGTGCCTGATTTTTATTAACAATATTTTGACTTAAATGGATAACAATATTTGTATTAACAACTTATATATGCACCATGACCCTCAACATGATCTTCTTCTCTAGCAAATTCTAATTTTTTTTACCTATTAGCTTCTTATAAATTGTTTTAATCCCCACGAGCAAAAATTTGCAAACAAATTCATTCAAATTTTAGCAATAGGTGATTTCAATAGTTTTGGGACACCGTGTTGATGAAAAGTTATACATACTTGAGAACGATGAGATGAGAACGTACATGTTTATTGAATTGTGCATGTTAAATTTGTATTCACACCTAGTCCATTTTTTTAGTAAACACACATGTGCATGCAGATCATATCACTGGCACAGGGTGGCTTAAAGCTCTCTTTCCAACATGTCAAAGTGTGCTTTCAAAAGTTGCTGGGGGACAAGCCGATATTCTCTTTGAAGATGGACATATAATAGAGTTTGGTGACCATGCTCTTGAATGTAGACTCACACCAGGACACACAAATGGTAATGAAAATAGATTAATGATAGATTATTTATTAACCTGTTTGCAGAAACCCAAGTCCAAACTTTAATCAAAATGTGCAAATGATTTCTAAAGTAAAACTGAAAATGACATTTGATATGAATATCTTTTGTCAAAATGTCAAATATATAGATTTAAATTAAAAGATGAACCATGAATACTGCAAAGCCATTATCATGAATGAAATTTTTCCTGAAAATTTTTGCTCAGGTTGCACCACGTATGTTGATCTTGCCAATGAAATGGCATTCACTGGAGATGCATTGTTGATACGAGGTTGTGGGAGAACTGATTTTCAGCAAGGTTTGTTGATGACATTGCTCGTGAAAACATATCTTCGTTTCTTCAACAGCATCAACCTGCTTGCTTTAGAGGACTATTGGGATCCCTATGTTTCCAGTTATGGGGATCCCTATGTTTCAGCTATGGGGCCCATTGGGATCCCTATTTTTCCAGCTATGGCGCCTATGGGGATCCCTATGTTTCCAGCTTTAGGGCATATGGGGATCCCTATGTTTCCAGCTATACCAACCAACTCTCCACTACACTTCAGTGAAAGTGTCTTTTCTTCTATATTATGAAAAAAATGCAGAAAAAGTCAAAATATGTGTTAAGATAAAAGTTTTTTGTATTTTTATAACAAATTATAAGTATTGGAACCGAAAAATTTTCAACTGAAAAATGGGTTTTATTTCACAAAAAGTTCCCGTCCCGTCCTTCGACCTTTCCCGCCTTTTCAGATCACCTGGACGATTATAGTTATATATACAGACCAATTAGAGATCTATTAGGAACCCAGACTGCTCTCCAATCAACTCGCACCTTCAATATGCCAACGTTTCGTGTTGAAGATTGAAAGAAAAACTCTTCTATCTTCTTAGGTAATTCGTCAGAACTTTATGATTCCGTTCATAAAAAGATATTATCTTTACCGTCCGACTTTCTTCTTTATCCTGGCCATGATTACCAAGGTAAGCTCGACCCTAGTCTTGTCTCAGTTGTCTGTAAACCAGGCACTTAGTTTTCTGAAAAATACAAATTGTTGAGCGCTTTGAAAATCATTGCCATTGGTTTTGAAATTATGACTACTTGAAAAAACTCGAAATGATTAAAAAATAGAATATTTGCCCCTCACATGAACGATTTGCTGTGATTTCACGCAGAATTTTCATCTTTTGAATGATGTGATCAAATGAATAAGTTACGAATTTTCAAATAAGGACGCACATATGCACAGAATATTCATAACTATTCACTGGAATGCAACTGTCAAAAGAAGAAAATCGCAGCAAAAATCGCCCGTAAAGTGGCCTCAACACAGTAGAAACCCTTAAAACCGTCAAATGTTTTCGGCACCATGAACTGAGTGGTTTAATTTCCATAGGTTTGACTGTTACTACCGTTGAAGAGGAAAAAGTTCACAATCCGAGATTGACAAAGAGCAGGGAAGAATTTATCAAAATCATGGAAAACCTCAACTTGGATTATCCGAAGAAAATAGGTAATTACTTAAGCCAGGGGGGGTGTGCTTTGCCCTACGTATGACTTGCGATTACTATTCAAAATGCAGGCGACACTAATGTAAGACTCCCTTCTATAGACGTCGCACTTCCTGCTAATTTGGTTGATGGCACAGATCAGGTTGACGAAAACTTGGTCAGACAGATACGTCATGGATAAATATAGTAAGTTGATATATTTATGACTTAAAAAATCTTATCTTTGGGTCTTTAGTTATCTTTGAAACCAACAGTGGCGTAGCCAGCCTGACGATTTTGTCCCGCTATGTAAATTTCGGGTTATTATAATTATTCATGTCTTTAGAAATCTATTGTTTTCACAGTCAGTGAACACGAAAATATTAGCATAGCGGGACATATCGACAGGCTGGCTACGCTCCTGGAAACCAACGGTTCTATATGTAGAGTATAGCGGAATTACATGCACTGATGAAGGCCCAAGTTAACGGACCGAAAGCTTTGCAGCATTACTATATACTTACGTGGTGTACCTACAAGCTAATTTACTTATAATATGATGTCACCATGCCAAATTACAAGAATTTTAGTAATAAAACTGTTTGAAAACTTGATTGCTGTAGGCAACCTCGCACCCAGGGTTTTATCTACCCTTGGTACAATGTGATTAATAAGTTGAATATCTAGCAAGCTGAAACCCATCAGGTTCTTCTAGATTTTGGAAGGTCATTAATAGAACAATAGATAAGAGATCTTAAGATTGACGTTCACAGCAATACGCTAACCGTCAGCGGCAAACCTCTAAAGTAATGGTATTTCAGACTTTAAACCCTATACCGGTTTTCGACAGACATTTCATCCTTCAATTTTCATAAACAAATTATCCCAAGATTATTGCAAAAAATGCAAGAATATTTATCACACAATATTAATTACACAAATTTAGGTTTGCCATTTGTGGTTCGGTTGTTGATTTCATGACCAATACCATATAATAGTTTTCTTTTTGGAAATTTATACTTTTTTTTTTAATTATAATTGCAGGATATTTGTAATGCGAGAAAGGTTTGCCTTGCATTTTATCAATAAAATATATATATATAGTGACTAAATGCATGAGAAAAAAACTAAATAAATTTATTTTGTACAAAAATGCCAAATGACCCTCAATTAACCCCAATTGAAATACAAAGGGACTTTCTAATTCATTAGTTTGTGGTTAGTTCTAACATCAAAGTAACTATCATTAACTACATATCTTGTGGCAGATATTAAAAAATATATCGTCCTAGGTTTAACAACAATAATAACAGGCAGTTTCGCCGTTAATAACATATTAAATGCCTTCCCATGAAATTTAAAGTGATATGTTTTATCACAGAGATTTGCCACTTCATACGAAATACTGAAGTTATGCTTTCTACTTAACATCAACAGACATCCCTCTTTATCAACCAATGTCACTTCAGTTTCCGCTCCGAACGCGCTGCGAGTAGCTAGGCTTCGGAGAGCGTCGGAAGCGATCGTATCTTTGTTATCAGTTTTCTTCGCGCATGCGCAAAGGCTAACATCAACACCATCGTCAACGCAGTGTAGGTAACGGCTGTACAGACTCTGCCTGTCGTATTTGATCAGTTTTGCACTGGCAATGTTCTCATCTGGTAGCAACGGCGTCTCAATCAAAACTTGAAATACTTCGACTCTATTTTGTACTGCAGATTCTACAATTAGATCCATAGTGACACTCAGTCTCTTTTCAGTTTGTTTCTCGATGTTGTTCTTGGTTTCCAGGCCCCGTAGCCGTATACACGAGCCATAACCACTATTTTTGTGCCCTGTGCAAAAAAAGATCACCCAATAGGCGATTTGCATATAGCAGAACTTTATGAAAGATTGAATGTGAAGTCTTACCTTTCATAAACTGTTCCTGCATCACGTTATTCAGTTGTCCTAGAGCAAACTCGGCTAGCCAAATATGGCGCTGCGAATTATCTCCAACTTTATGATCCCATCCTTCACATTTACATCTCGTCAGGGGGGTGAGAGGCAGGTTCTCACATGTACGATTGCTAGGCAACACTGATAGGATACCATTGACCCGGTAATCATCTGACTGCATTTTGACTGGATTGTTTAATGCCATCAACATACGATGTATATCGAGAGTCGTGAAGAGTCGTTGTTGGTTTTCCACCAATGAGCGCACCTTATTTTTCCCGAGTATGCCGGCGACATTTTCCGAGAATAAGACGAACATTAATGGATTTGAGAGCTCAAACCGGCCTTCTACCGTTTGGGAATATTTTGTTCGCGTGTGACCGTGGTCTGATAAGATTATGGTCAGCGTGTTTGGGTCACGTGCTAGCTGAGTGACGTAAGTAGCCAGGCCGACGTCGTCGTTACGAATGCGTGTGCCATAGGAGGTGTGACCGGTGACCAGATGAAGGTAATGGAGGAGTGGGAGCGAGTCTTTGTGCTCCCGGATTGATCTAATGGAAACAATCATAGAAACTTGATGTCAATTATCGAGTCAGTTAATTGAAGTTTGTGTTAGGACAAATTTTATTTCAGTTTGAAAACAAACGCCACAGCTGAAGCACCTCGGAATGAATAAAACAGAAAAATTGGTTGCGAAGTGTTGTTAATTATGGAAATATAGTGTTTCCGAGTGTAACATTTTTTACATATTTGTTTTAAGTGCGGAAGAACGACCACTTTGGCTCAAAAATGATTTTAAAAATACTAAAAAATAACAATAACTAATATAACGATGCTTCGGTAATGGTGCGGTTTCCACACTCTACTTCAGAGACCTTTGAATGTATCGTCAAATTTCCAAAAGATGATGAGAAACACAGCCGCTAGTTTTAAGCATCTGATTTCACTTTGTTTAAAAAACGTCTCTGACTTTCATCCCTGTCGGGATACCCGCTAACATTTCACAACTAAACTTGGCAGTTTTATTTATTTTAAGCTGGCATTTCTTACTGCGGAGTTAGATTTCTTTGACTAGGTCAAAAATTTGTCTAAACCTTAAAGCTGTTATGGTCGATTAAACAGGCCATTGTCACTAACCTCAGGTAGTCGAGATGATATTTCAGATAGTATGTGCTAATATAGTCACCATTGAAACAAACGTGCTTTGGACGATCCATATCATTGGTTTGACCATACTTCTTTACAACTTCACAAGTGAAATGTGTCAGTCCAAAATCATCAATGTGATAATGTTTCCATCTTTCTTGCAATTGTTTCCACCTTAACGGGAAATTCATGACTCTCAACAGGAAAATCAAGATTCTGAATGGGAAAATCATTATTCTTAACGGGAAAATCATGTGGGGACTTGTGCTTCTAAAAAGTAAAATCAAGTTTCTTCACAGCAAAATCATAATTCATGGTAACCTCGCGTCCAGGGTCCATTTAACACTTTGGATAATTCACTGCATGCACTTTACCTCTTCGCAAAGCCTTCCCTATCTGTGAGTGTGGGGTGCCTCTCCACGTCGGTCAGCATCAACCCCCACAAGTCATACCAACACCCTTCCTCCTGGAACATTGTTTGATAACCATTTTTCTGATATTCACCAAATAAAACAGATATTCCCAGCGGTTTAATCGATTTTCTCCATTTGCTACTGAACTCTTTATATACACCTGAAGACAATAAGAAAAATGTTTTGGTTTGTGGAAGACATTGAATAAAGAGATCAAAAAGACTAAGATTTTATAGATATTTAATAAGAAGGGATAAAGAAGACCTAGAACAGAACTCATTTTATGGTTGTCCAGAAAATGAGGCAAGCAAGAATGATAGTTGGAAATATTTAATAAAGATGTCAGGAAAGAGAGTAAAGTGCGGTGGGCGTTGTCGTTAAGATGTGGGAAACAAGGTTGAGATATGATATGGAATGATAAGTGAGCTGGTCGGAGACGAATGAAAGATTCTGCAGTCAACTCTGTGTCATCGTGGAATATTACGATAAGAACTGCGCTAATAGGAGCTTTTACCTGCGGTCACTCCAGAGTAGAGAGGTCTACAATTATCCATTGTGTGTTGACTAACGCTCTGCAGGAGCTCAAAATCAAGCACTGTAGCTGGAATACTTTCGTTGTATACTACATGACGTAGTGCTTCTATAGTCCGTGGCATTGACCGATAAAAGTGTGGTCGAGAGATTGAATCTATTAGTATTATGTTCACGTTAATCTTTTTACTTTTCTTTTTACTCTTCTTACTCTTCTTACTGGATAATTTTATTGTTCTTGGAAGAGGGAGAACCTGCCTCAAACTGCCGCATTGAAGGAATACGAAATTGAAGCCATTTTTCATACTACGTTGAATAATTTCTTCGATCGTTTTGTCTGTGGGGGCGTACACCCAGCTCGTGGCCCTACCGTAGGTTGCGTCCATCTCCCCGATGTATGGTTTGCGTGGGAAACAAATCGACCAATCACATTCCAAGTTATAATTTTCTGTACTCCCATTGGCTCGAAACGTACACAAATCTTTGTACTTGAATTCTGTGCATTGCTGGGGTGGAAGATCACTTGCAGAACCGTAGATCTCGTGAGCCGTTTCACAATCCTTTACATCAGGCCTGTTGAAAGAGATGAGTCCATTTAATTGACATGAAAGGTTACTTCTTTCGCATTACAAAAACTGAGGCGCCATATTTCCATGCATTAAAATTTGCCCGCGAGTGAATACACCATTTTACGCGAATGAAATTCGTGTTTGCATATCGAACAGTGGCGTATTATCTTAAAATATCGTAGAAATATTTTATTGCTCATTGACTGTTGAATCATAATAACATTTGTGTAGCGGGACTAATTAAGAGGAGATTTATTATGTCGTGTATTTTGGCGCGAAAACGTTCGAAACAAAATGTTTTCGACGTACATTCAAATATCACTAAGTTTTAAACAGCATTTGGTGGTTGCAAAACACCAACTGCTACAAGAGTATTTACAACGCCATTATACCATTAAAAATGAAGTGAATACATTCAATACAAAAGTAATTCGCCCGCAATATTGGCCAAAAAGGGCCTGCGGAGGAGGTAGAGTTCACGAAATGTTTCTAAAATATATAATTTCATTATCGCCTGCCATGCATTACCTGTGCGGTTGACATGAAATTCCAAAATAGTCGTTGGGATATCTGCTCTCTTTGATTGGCTTACGCACTCCCAAATATGGGCACGGGTCGTCCTCGGGGAATATTCCCTCTCTCTCGATATTCAACAACAAATCAGTCAAGATCTTATTTTTCTTCTTGTATTCTTGCTTCGTATAAAGTTCCGGCCGTTCTTTATTGCGATTTGCTAAATTAAGATTAATATAGTCAAGAGATTGTAAATTCAATTTTTTTCTGCCAAAAAATAAAGCCCTCCATCGTTGGAAAATTTAACACGCGCAAAAATTTCAGTTTGAAACCTGCAAATTTCAAAGTTTATGGCGTATAAAAATATTATGTCGCATATTATATACAAACATATACACTTGTTCAAATTGTTAATTTTCTATTTCAGTTCTCTGGATGTAAGTATATGTCAGTCTGGGCCCATCATGTGCTGTTTATTATAATTATATCATGATTAACTAGTTACCTTTGTCATGAACATATCTTTGATGAACGTGTAATATCGTTTTTTCTATGAAGAGTTAAGACTTGATTAGAGAAAATACGTCTTTATATTTAATATTTTTTTAAAAATAAGCAAGGATCATGATAACTTATAAAGAGTTATAAAGCTGTTGGCCCAGGGAAAGTTGTATAAAAGATAGTTTTAACTGTATTTACAGTAACGGAATTGGCCAATCAGAATCAAGTTATATATAACTACGATTTAAGGTGGTACACCACAAAAAGATCATTTGCATATTTATAAAATTAGAAATATTGAAATATGTTGAAGTAGAGTGGTATGATTGTTCTAATTCTAGTTCGCAGCACAGACATTCACGTGCTGAGTTCGCTTCAGCAGTCGTTTCGGAGTTTAGATACACGTCCGAAAAGAAAGAATTTTTTGCGCAATCTCTCAAAAAACTCTCCCTCCGTTCTACCATAAAACTAAGCTCTAAAACGACTAAAGCATACTTGGCACACTGATGTCTGTGCTGTGAACTAGACTCGAAAAAACACATATTAAGTATGTTAAGATATTTCGATATTTTCATTTTATAAATATACAAATGACCTTTTTGTGGTGTACCACGACCTTAATGAAACAAAATGTAGTTAAGATGATGTTAAATGCATTTAAATACCATATGATAACCATGGATCATACCTCTGAATTGATCTGCTAATGGTGTTATTAAATAATAAACAAACACACAAAAAACTACCACCAACAATATTTTTGATTTTTTCTAAAACGAAAAGAAATGCGCTGTAATCGGTTTCTACGATCACAAAAATATCAAAATATATACGGTGCCACCTTTATTTTGAATTGCGAATATACAAAGCAGTATTAGTGCTCAAAATAACAATCGTGTTATCTCCGGTCAACCAAATGACTAACCGGTCAACTCAACTACATGTTAGCTCGGTCAGAATCGGTTTATAATCTGATGCCCACGATTTTTCATATGCTACTTAAACACCGTGAAATCGCGGAACTATATAATCATGTTTTGAGACACAGAATCTCAGGTGTGTCTTACAGTCGTTCAATCGTTAACCTATATAGCTATATTACCCTATCGCTTTTGAGGAAACCACCGTGTGAATTTTCTATCTAAGCGAATTGTTAATAAACATGGTTTGGCCGGCAAAATAAAAATACGACCGGTCAAGAAGCTCGTTAATTGACCGTTAATCGACCGTTATTTTGAGCTTTGCAATGCATGGCTGAGGTCTTCCTGATTTAAATATGAGTTGAAACTTACAGTAACAGAAAACATTTGTTTTTTACCAGATCTTTCTTGCTGCAAGAAGAGAATACATATATGTAATGTGTTGAATAGTAGTTTGGTATTAAATGCTCTTAGAGCGGGTAATGTTTTTATTATTTTTATAAATAGCATATAATTTTCCATTTTGCAAGATCTATATATGCTGACTTTTCGACAAATTAATGCAGTATATCGTTTGGGACATTTTTTGAGAAGCAGAGTTATGTTGCTAGGGGCAATAATTTAGGACGGGAATGAGTGACTAATACATGAGATATATCATTCACTACTTTGCTTACCCAAACAAAGTCGGTGAGTCGCACAAAGGATTCAAATTGATTATACCCTGTGTTGACACTACTGCATGTCACCAGCCACTTTGGTTCCCTTAATCCCTTTTAAAGAAAAGTAAAAAAATCACACAACATGAAAGTAATGCTGAATATTTCACGGGTCATCCAAAGATCCAAAGTTACACTCACGATCACGTAGAACCTTTCGATCACGTATCACAAATTAAATACATGACAATCATGCACGTTTCACGGATGAAAAATGACACTAATCACGCTTCACGGTAAAAATATAGGGACCCAACCTCGTACCCAGGGTCTTTTTACTTCCGCTCCACGGCCCACGCTGCGTCTTTCTACCTCCGCCCCTCCCCCCTCCCTTAGGTTGTATATAGGGACCCTCGTTAACAAAGCACTAGTTGGCGAATGTTTTGTTCCACAAAAATACCAACTATACTTTTTTACCTCGTTTGCTCAGTTCATATAGATACAAGAAATATTTTAGGGGCTGTTTACATGAGCCCGGTTACCCGAGATTCAACGAAGCGTGAGATGATTTTGAGGTATTGAAATGAGCAGATAACATGATCCTGGCAGTCTAATAATCACCACAACAATAGCATGTGCTTGTTTGGTGTCATAAAGACTTATTTCAATACCTCAAAGTCCTCTCATGCTTCGTTGAATCTCGGGTAACCGGGCTCATGTAAACAGCACCTTAGACCTTGGTCTCTAAAAAAGACTTGTCTGATATCTCTCTGTAATACCAACCTCACGCTTGCTTAATATATGTAATATAGCGAGAAGTGTATATTAACTAGCTACTTATTAACCGAGTGTGAGGTCTGTACGGGAAAGTATTGCCTGAGGTATTGCCCGAGCGACGAAGAAGCGAGGTCTGTGCGATAAAAACCGAAGGCAATACTTTCCCGTACAGACCGAACAAACGAGCTTAATAAGGAATATGTTATATGGCTTTGTTAATATTTTACATTTTACAATTAAACTTTTTCCAATCGGGCAAGATGAATTTTTGGGAGGGCAAGATGACTTTTTCCAGCCCGCAATCAACCAATTAGCGTGCGCCGTTTATCTCAGCCTTATGACCCATATCATAAATATATGACATAAACTTATAACGGCATGTTTATCCACTTATTTCACAAAACTCGTATAAGATCATGTGGGCTATAAATAAATTGATTCCAATTTCATATGATTCATATTCAATCTAGATTATAAGATTATAGTCTGATTTATACACGGGCAATTTTTCATTGTTATAAATTTTATGTCACAAATATATTTTGCCAATGTTAGCCTAATACTGGAAGTTTGACACAAATTATGCATGTGGAACTTTGACGGAAATTGTGCCGAACTCTGACGGAAATTGTGCCATAGAAAACGTTTTGGTATAAATAATCTTCCAATAAATTATAAGAACAACATTTTCGCAAATAATTACAGACATCTCATTGTCATTGAAGTATTATCCTCGTCCGGCGATATAAAATGAAAAGGAAATGATTTGTCAAGTTGATAGATAAGTTTTTGTCATATTTTGATTAATGGGGTTTTTTTATGTCGTAACACGTTGATGAATATATATGAAGTTATACATATAATTATAGGAAGAATATGGGATTGGTTATTGACTTATTGTAATTCTGTTATTTTCTATTCGAACATAAATAAATTTTCTTATCAGTAATATAGGAGTTGTTAAGGCTAGTTTCTACTCAGGAAAATTCTCCTTTTGATCGTACAGGACAGGAAAGTTTCCTTTGTATGAACGCCGCCTGAGAACTCACCGACAATATTAAAAAAAAAATTCCCCGTCCGTTCCGATCCAAAGGCGATTTTCCCTGAGTGGAAACTAGCCTTTACGCGGTCTGACTGGCTGAGCTACTCGCAGAGCCATATCATCTCGTATATGCATGTATGGTAGTAATGAAAACATTCAGTAATACCGTGAAAATTTGTGATGAGAATTTAATAAAAGTGACTTCTAATGATTTCTACGTCTACTTTGTTCATTGCAAGATAAGTGGGGTGCACTCCGTAATGTAAACATGCGAACGCTTTGTTTACATTTTGAATCGGTATATTTCCGAAAATATCAAATACTTTCGAATGAAATATTTGGCACGCTTTTAGTTTGCTATGCTTCTAAATAAATATGAGAGAGAGTTTATGTTCAGAAATATACGAAACATGCGAAATTTGAGCAATTTTGAAGCAAGTAGACAACCATTGTTATGAGCAAAACTGATGCGAAGAAGCGACTGTAACCCCCCTTTAGAAGAGCGACAAAAAGTACAAAACAAAATGTTCAATTTCGTTGAGTTGTGGCGCTTGTTCATGTTAAATTACCTGGCGCTTGTTTTTACTTTCTTCGTTCTCTTAAACCAATTATGACAACCTAAAATATTTCCCAAGTTGATCATTGGCTCGATTTGTACCAAATCATCTCTCGCTTTTGAGAGATTTCGCCGCAACAGAGATTTCGCCGAAACAGAGATTTCGCCAAAAGATTGATTATATGCCTGGGTTTATATACACTGAACTATATAATAACTATTTTTCGTCCCCAAAATTGTTAAACTGGATTTTAAAAAACTGGATTTTCCCTCTTCGGTTTTCCACTTGCGATATTTTTCGCGCGAAGCGAATTTATTCTTTTGTATTCGAGCGATTTGTTCCAAATTGTCGCAGAACAAAAGTAAAATGTCGCTTCGCGCGAATATTATCGCAAGCGGAAAACCGACCTTATACAGTATAAACTTTAAATCGAGCGGATTACATGTAGTGTATATATAAATCAATGAAAGGTTGGCTGTACTCGTAACCTGTTCTGGTTTAATCACTTTTGTCCCTACTGTTGAAATATAAAGATCGTCTTACCTGATGTTATCTTATCATCACAATATATCACTGGTATAAATATCCATTATGTTGTGATACGTTTAATATAGAGCTGTTTTATATCGGAGTCCTGATTTTTTTTTCAACGTTGCGCCTTTCAATAGGAACCTGTTCGATAATCTCGCAGTTGCTAGTACTTGCTGGTAACTATTGACAAATTCTAAACAGCATTCACAAGTTGCATTGTTTGTTTTCGAACTGCGACTGAAAACGATAAAACTGAATTCGAAAAACTGATCACTCGTGGTCATGCACGACGTATTGCGTAATTTTCAATCCTTTTTATAGGATGTTCTGACAAGTATATTGTAGAACACCAGCCAATCAAGTTTGATATTTTGAATATGTTTTTGCGTATATAAAGCAGTGAAAGCACCCAGTAGCGCCCTTATATTGCAAAATCCACTCGCACTAGTCGACCACTTGACCACCACGTTTTTAGATACCGCTTTCGAATTCAGAATTTGAGGTACTTGACAAAAAAACCAAGACAACTTACATTCTACCTACACTGGATCCACCACGTTTGAGTTATCTTTTTCAGGTAGTTCAGATAAACTAAGAAAGCTTATCGACTTATCGTATAGAATACCATGTATGATTACTATGATATGCCTTTTTAAGGTAGTTCAGCCAAAGTTCAGCCGAACACAAACTACACTATAGCTTATCATAGAAATGATAGAATACAACCAACACTGGACCAACATGTCAGATATCTTTTTCAGAAACCGCTACGATAGATAATTGCAGAATACCACCTAGTACAAAGGTTACTGCGTTTGAGATATATCTTTTCAGTGACGACAGCTTATTGTGGAATGCTACTTATATTGGACCACTACATTAGAGATATCTTTTTTAGGGTAGTTCAGACAGAAACCACGACAGCTTATTGTAGAACACCTATGATTTTTGGCCCTTTACTAGATGTAGGTAAATTCTAGAGGTTAAAGGGGTCTTAATTTCGAGTGGAATTATAGAACACTACCTACTTAACCAATGACTTAACCAACAAATTAAAGATATCTTTTTTCAGGTAGTTCAGACACAAACCACGACACCACGTTTGAGATATCTTTTTTCAGGCCCGTTAGAGATATTGCTGAGGTATCGTAGTGACGTAACGCCACTATAATCCTTACACTTGTTCTATCATAAGAACGCTAATATCAAGTTTGCGATTAGGATAAATAATAATCGGACACAGATTTATTATCGGATTACTAAATCCAAAGTCCCAGACTTCCACGCGGTTAATTCCAATATGGCGGACAAAGTGGTGGAAAGTGAACCTTCAAACGCCATGGATATAGATGAAATAATTTCAGCATCAAAGTCGAAAAATGACGGCAAATACAAAACTATAGAAGTGAATAAACTAGTTGAACCGCAAACAGACATTGGCAATCTTTTAGTTACAGACATAAATTTGATCGAAACCAAGAACTTTAAGTGAGTATATGTCTCCATCACAACATAAACGTTTGTCGCACGTGGCCATATCGGATGAATGAATGTGTGTTTTCATAGACGAAACAAGGATGAAATCCTCAAGACACTTGCAAGAGACAATACACAGTTTCTTTTTAATGCAATCTGGAAGGTATATTGTTATTCAGAATTTGTCTAGTAGTCAGTAGTGTGTATTTTTGCTTCTAGTTTGCAGTCAACCAAAGTCCCTTGCCTTTGAACAATATTTTAGTCTTTCAGTGGCGAAGGGTTGTGTGAAATTATATCATACAAGTCATTACAAGATATTTTGCCCCCAAGTCATTTTACCATAAGTTATGCAAAATGCATTCTATGTGAACCTCAAGCTGAAGATGCTGTGATGTTGTTTTACTGTGTGCCATATTAGGTCAACTGTGCACCGAAGACTGATTCAGACTGTGGCAAAAAGTAAATGGAATACACCTTGACAAGTAGTTTTGCCCACAAGCCTTCTTTTCCTTTGTTGCTTTGGCACAAGTTGTCCTCTAAGTCATTTCCTCCCAAGTTGTGTCACTGACTCCCAAGTCATTTGCTTTAAAAGATGATTTTCCCTCTTGATAGGAGTTTAAGCTTATGGGTTCATTAGGAGCAGGTTTTAGATAAGTGTTCATAGGCCATTGCCAGTTGTGCACTTAATGTGGAAAATTTTGCAATACAGAAATAAGGTCAGCATCAAATCAGATCAAATATCACACTGAGGTTTTGATGTATGCTTTTTATTGTTTGTTTATCAAATAAAGAATCATTGATTGTGTTCTGAGTATTTGAGCAAGCACATTGCCATTTTGTGGTTGTGGGGCCTTAATATATAGGCATTAGTAAGACGGGTTAAAGTAATTTTAACAATTCTGTGGATGCTGCATAAAATTTGTCAACATCATACCAGTCTGACATAGATGGTTTGATCTCTGGTGAATTCAAGTTAAATAACTTTATTATTTTGTGATTTAACTTTTAGTTGCCCATTGAAAAATCTGAGAATGTTATGGTTGTCAAGGTATATACGTATATATATTGAAGATATTATCAATATCCTGTGAACAAGGGTACTAGCCATGTTTAGGAGTTCCATCATTTCAATGACAATCATTTTTATTGTAAAATTTTTGCCTCACAGATACTCTGTAGGAGTATCAGGGAGTCATTGCTAATGGTCTCAAATTCCTTAGTGCCATTAACTTGACCAACCTGCATTGTGTACTTAGTAATAGAAACTTGTTTATCTGGTTAACTACTAGCCAACAATTAATCGCCTATTCCTGCATCTGTGAGTCGTCTCATTGAGACCTTTGACTTGTTATTAGCTCCCAGAAGCAAGCACTGTGCTTCCACGTGAGAAACCGGTATGTTCTTGCATGAATTTTGAAACATCAACCACTAGGCTAAATGGCAAATGTTCTAAAATTAATTTTTAATATTATGATTATAGATTCCCAAACCAAAACCTCTTACAAAATGGCAAGAATTTGCAAAACGAAAGGTTGGTAAATTCTAAATACATAAACGAATATTATATAGAATTATTGCTCATTTTAACATCAAAAGATTGAAGTTTTGTGATCTTTGGTTGAGAAATTTTATCTTACGTTGGTTGATATACAATCAACATTTATGAGCTGGAAAGTCCACACATAAGTCCACACATTATCTTGCTGCTTTGTTAGGGGAAATATATATATATATATATATCTAAATAAGGAGGTTTTCCTGTTTGCTAGAAGAAATCCTATAGTTGCCAGCTTAATTTTGTGTAGATCTCATTTTGTGGCCTATAGTGATATGTGCACTTCTTTTGACACACTTTTTCCAAGCTAGCCCATCGATGTACAAAAAGTGGGTATTGGGACGGTCCCACACCACCCAAGTTAGTACTAATATTATGCAATATTTGGGAAAATCAAATTTACTTGTAATACAATAAAATTCTTTGGGAAACAGTTACAGGTTCTTTGAAAAGAAAATATTCAGACTTTTCAGTAATTTTCCATTTACGGTAGGACTTTTGGCTGGCACCAGCCCCTCCCCCCAACTGTGAGAGCCCAGGCACAGCCTGGCTTGGCCATTGCTATAGAATGTCTGTAGATGAATATTAGGTCTGTAAGCTTGTTGACAAAGATTTAAACAAAGTCCAAAGAGAATATTAAGAAGAACATTAAGAAGAATATTAGGGAAAAAATTAAACCCACTAATAAGTTCTCGCGTGTCTGGTGTTTTATAGTGAGTTGACTAAAAATTATACTTCGAAAAGAAGATTTTGAACAGAATTCATTTGAACCCGCCCCAGTCTCCTGTCGGTATCAACCTTTTGATGTATGTTTTTCTAATATCAACATTTGGCGCGAAAATGTTTACTAAAATCAGTAAAACGATGAATTTTGTTTTTGTCGCGAAAACCTGTCAAAAATACATCAAAAACCAGCATGAAATGTCCTGTTCACATCGTCCACATTCCAAGATAAAACTGTTTAAGGATGAAAAAGATTTTGTCCGAGAATTCTTTCAATTTTTGATAAAATTAAATGCGTATTTAACGAGTTGGAAGCGGGTGAATGACTCAAAAGTCAGGTATTGTGAAAATAAAGAAATATAAAATGTTTATTTCTTTTCAAATACTCTCTTGTGCCTCTACCAAAAAGAAATTATACATTTAAACTACTTCCTCTTAGCCTAGTCCAATTGTTTTGAACCTTAAGCACGTACATAGGAGCCGAAGGCGAAGTGCATGAATATTATAATAAAACTGATTATTGACTGAGCGTGCATGAGGTCTGTACTGTGAAATATCAGACCGAAGCTTTTTAGTATGAAGGAGCGAGGTCCATGCGAAAAACCTTGAACTGTTCAGAGACAGTGAATCTTGACCAATCGGAATGCAGGGAAATCACAGTCACCTTGAAATTTATACTAAAAATTGGTAAATAGCAAAGCTTTATTCACCCAAGCCAGATCTACCAAGGCTGATTTCCACAGTGGGTGTACAAAAGATGGACAAAGATATAGTACTTAGGCATTGATATGAGTCATTGAAAAGAAATGCAATAAAAATGGTCATTAAAAAGAAATTAATAATTAAAGACCTTGCATGGGAAATGGGAGTTTTAGATCCAATGCTCTTGTCAATAACAACAAATCTCTAGTTTTCAAGTTTTGTGTACAACGGGGAATTTGAATACCAGGATTTACCTGATGCTTTTAGACCAATCAAGAAGCAGGTTGGACATTCAATATAAAAATATTTTTATCTTCTGAATTAGGGAATAAGGAAACAGAAAAGAGGAAGAATGTTATGGGATGAAACCAGCCAGGTAAGTGATCATTTATATCAGGGATGGATCCAGGGCGGTTTTGTATGATGGGTGCTGGCTAGCTGCCGGGCATGGGTTTGGGTACAAGCACTGCCTGTAAGGGATGTTAGAATGTCATTTTGATGCTGGATTGTCAGTGCTTATGAAGAATTTGAACTTCCAAATTCCACAAATATTCACAATCCATGCAGATTTGAATTGATACCCATATTAGCTCTCCTTCATGCATCCTCTTTTTCCTTGGACTAGGCTAAGGTGGGAGGATGCCCACCCCTCCAGTAAGTTGTTCTCTAATTAATAGGTTAATACACATTTATGTAATATTAATAAATTTACCATTATTTAAACATTACTCTTATTCACCGTAGACCTGGAAACCACGTTGGGGTTTCAAACGAGCAAAGGATGACACAAAAGAGTGGCTGATTGAGGTGCCTGGAAATGCAGGTAGGGCCGGTGATTCAACTTTGTGTAACTTGTGTTTTATTTTAAAAAAATTATCAGTTATTAGTAGCATCTTAGAATGTGTAAAACTGCAAAGTTTGCTCGTGAAATGTTCTAACATATAGAATTTTTTCACATTTTATAACTTTCCACAGCTTTTATTTAGTGTAGACCGGGCTGGTTTTCATATGACATAATTCGTCGTAATTAACTTGTCGTGTAACCGAGGTAAAAAAATAACTTCCTGTGTTACAAACTTTCTGGTATGCCCTTAGATCCATATGAAGACCAGTTTTTGAAACGCGAACAAGCCAAAAAAGAACGAGTGTCGAAGAATGAATATCAACGTCTGCGAAACATTGGTAGATCTCAAAAGATGACAGGCATGTGATTTTATTATATTGTTTATGTTTCACAATATTTTATTATTAACTTTGAGGATATCTTTACAGAAGGAACTAAACTGGCTCCCACACAGAAGCCCACTCGAAATCAGGTGTGTTAAACTAACTTAGACATTCGGTGATAAAGCCCGTTCAAACTTGCACTTTTTGTCACATGCAAGTCGCTTCTTTCGATAGATGTAAACGAGTGGTAAGTTACCAATAATCAGATAGCGGGATTCATGCATCAGAGCATTCATTGTTATTTGTTCGTTAGCATCTATTAAAAGACGAAAATTTAATTGGATTTGTCAGCTCAAAATGCAAACAAAAACACGATCATACAAACATGACGTACCCTACAATATGGCCTATTCCATGCCAAGAAAGGCCTCCATGTGCTTTAAATCGCTGTACTTTAATTTGTCACACAACACGTGGGAAAGCTACAAATAAGAATTCAGACAGCGCTTGCAAGAGCTTCAATGACGTAAATACGCATTGTTCTTACGTGTTCGTTTTAGGTCAAGGCAACGATTAATGCTGCCAGGATTTCAACAGCATCAATGGGAAAATTTACTCCAAAACTGGTGAGTCGTTTCATACAATTGCACAGAATTTATTCCGATGAAATTTTGCATCAGTAAATAGTGACATGCGAATATATCGCCACAGCTAAAAACCAAATTGGTTAAAATACCATACCAAATTGGTTAAAATTCTAAAGTTGGTGGCGAAGTTTTGTAAAACGCGGAATATATAAGTTTAAATTTTCAAACTCGAAAATGGTGTATATATCCCGCATTTTGCAATAAATTTTAGTACACCTCTTTGGGAATGCACTTTTTTGCCAAGGTAAAGAATGTAATTGAAGTAGCTATGATAAGTTACATGTACGTCATACCGGTAATGACGTACTGTATGTACAAGTCTGCAGAACTCGCTTCCAGTCTGTACCTATTTCTGTACTGATTGACATGAATAGACGTGGATCGCGTATCCAGGTCAGGCACGGATCAGGAGTACCACGATAGCGGGTATTTATTGATTTTGCGGTTGACTTTCGATTATAATTTCCCAAAATTACCTATGGGGTTAGGTTTCTGGTTGAAGATTAGAGAAGAGATTAGGGTTTGTGTAAGGATAAGGTTATATATACCGTATAGCTGTACCGTTAGTGGTATATAGATGCTGGCAAACAACTATAACCATTCATTCATTCAGATGTCTAACATTTGGGTGTCAACGCCTACACGTCAGCGGGACACTGATCTCAAAATCGTTTTATAAGTAATACCATGTTTTGAGGGAAATTAGCGAATACATTGTCCGACGCCGAATTATTGATTGTTATTGATTGTTAATTGATTGTTAATTATGATTGCCGAGAAATAGTCAGTAAACTCAGTCGCTGAGATAAGTTTAGGTTTTTCTTCTTGTATGGTTCAGTCACTTCAGTGAACTTGTTTACGACTTTTAGTATTGATCGAAGTAATCGTACCTATGGGGCATGCTTTGTACTTGTTAGGGCTGTTTAAGTGGCGGCATTTGCGTTAGAATAGTTGTGTATTATAAAGGTAAATGTGACTATACATGTTTGTTGATGTAATTAAAAAACTGTGAGTCCGGTACACGTCGTACGACGTTTGAAGATTTAGTACACAAAGAAATCCTTTGTGTTTTACTGAATTCCCCAGACAAGGCTATGCAAGGGGTAATGAGGAAAATACCGGGTGTACATCCCTTGTGAGAGAAATTCGAGGCGATTATGGTAAATTACGACAATAAACTAGTAAACAATGCCAGGATATTTTATCTATCACTACATTTATTTATCACTACATTTATTTATCACTACATTTATTTATCACTACATCTTAATGCTGTTGTATAGAAGTAATTGCTTATTTGACGTAGTTTGTCAATAGTATAATGTTATGGAAATACATTTTATTATTTTATATTCTCTTTAAATGACAAAACTGTTAAACCTACTTGAAACATCTTTTACAGTTTTTCGTAACTGTCTTAGTTTTCGAGATATTTAACTTTAAACTTTATTGATTTACCAAGAGTTTTACGACTAACTAAAAATTGGCGGCACATTTTTGGTTCAATTTGACATCTTTAATCTGTGATAACACTTGCTTCCCTTAGGACTGTTTGCCACCAAATCGATTTTTTTTTTCGTTTCTCAGCATCTTAAGTAATTTTGTCATCCTCTCCCAACTGTCACTGCCACATTGATCCCTACCTCCGCCACTACCTTCATCTCCCCTGCTTCCTCCACTCCCCTCATCCTCATCCCCACTATTCCCATCTCTTTCACTTTCACCACTTCCATCCCCACTATTCCCATCTTCTCCACTTCCCTCACTTTCACCCCCACTACTTCCACTTCCTCCATCTCCATCCCCACTACCCCCACCTCCATCACTTCCTCCATCCCCACTACTCCCACCTCCATCACTCCCCCCATCTCCATCCCCACTACTCCCACCTCCATCACTTTCCCCATCTCCATCCCCACTATTCCCACCTCCATCACTTCCCCCATCTCCATCCCCACCAGCCCTACCTCCACTTTTCCCACCTTCACCCCCACTATTTCCACTTTTCCAATCTCCACCCACTCTATTCCCATCTCCTCCACTTTTCCCGCGTCCATCCCCGCTATTCCCACCTCCTCCTCTTCCTCCACCCTTATTACTATTCCCGCTTCCTCCGCTTTTCTCGCCTCCACCACCACTATTCCCAACTTCTCCACTTCCCCCAACTTCACTCCCATTATTTCCACCTTCTTCACTTTCCCTACCTCCAATCTTACTTTTCCAACGTCTTCTTCTTTTCCTACGCCCACTTCTACTATTCTCATCTCCAAGTTCCCTACCTCTAGCCCTGTAATTCTCATCTTCACTTTCCCCATCGCTATTCTCACCTCCTTCACTTCCCCCACTTTCTGCCGTTCCGTTTCCACCGTTCGTCCCGTCTCCACCGTTTCCCCCACCGCCAGCACCACTTCCACTAGGACTACCGCCTCCTCTGTCTGGAATAAAAAAACACAATATTTTAGAATTGAATGAACTTAAAGAACCCTAAGTTTAGGTCTAAACTCTAAAGGAATAAACCGTTCTTAATTTGATGCTGATCGATTAAGTTTAGATTTCATTGGGGTAAGAATATATTTAATACATGCAGATTCTGGTCCTATTTTAATGATATCGCTGCTATAGACATATGCGGTTTATTCACATTTTTGAACTTCTATACCTTTCAAAGTACGATGTGCTTCTGAATGTCGAACAACATTTAGGTTCACAACGCTTCTATACTTTTAAAGCACGTTGTGCTGTCTGAATATCGAACAACATTTAGGTTTGCAGGGCTTCTAAATGAGTATGAAGTTGAACTGTATTTTTTATGTTCAGAAGCTTTATGTTGAATACTGGGACCTGCGCGGCACGTCGAAGTTAAGAGCAGGCGTCTTGTGGAAAGAAGAACTAGCTTCAATACATTTAAAATGAATCAGGATTTTAGGAATAATCAATTCTCCAGATTGCTAACTTCGATCGGAAATCTTCCGATATTTTAACCCTGGTTATAAATTGATTTTCTTTTCATTGCTTCTCGCGAGGAGGTTTCAGTAATTAGGAAAAAATATCGAAAAGTGTTATTTTGCTGTTTTACTAAGATGTATCTCGACTTTTTCGTGTTTCTGTGTAAACAAACGAAACCTCCTAGGCCTAGCGCATTTTAGTCACAATAATTACCTTTTCTCGAGGCTTGAGTTTTGCCAATGCTTGCCGAGGTCTGTTGCATTCCAGTTGACGGTTTTGTTGCATTGACTGTGGGAGGGTTGAATGCTTGCAGAGGCAGTTGCTTTTTCGCCACGTACTTTAACAACATGCTGCTTGTCAGGGCTACCTTGCTGATTCCGGAGAAGAATCTAGATGTGGAAAGATTTGTCTTCACAGCTTTTGGTGTCAGGGACACGCCACCATAATGAAATCGAGTAAACTCGTCTTCATCTTGTCTGTAGTTGACAGCGGGTATCCACTTGCATTTGTTGCTGGGTGAGAGAAATTTCTCTGCGGTTCTTCTCAGATCCGCTATCGTGCTCGTGAATTTTCGCAGGCTTTCCTTTTGCTGCTGGACGATTTTTTTTCGCATCTCGTTTAGACTAAGAGCATTTTCTCGAGCAATTTTCCTCGCAATTTCACGCGAATTGCCAGTATATAGCCAATTGGAAATTTGGCTATACGATGCTGAAATGCCACCTTGCTGATGAACTTCACTTACTACGTTGTCATTGATATACGAAACCTGCCGTTTGATATCATTTCTTGCTTTATTAAGATTACTCGCAATGCTAGTTTCTGCCTGCTGGAGTGCCGACGCTTGGATGCGCCGAATTTCCGAATCCTGTTTTCCACTTTCAATTCGTTTCTTATGTTCTTCCATGCTGTCTTTAAAGCTGTCAAGAAATTTCCCCAACCACTGAACTTTACAAAGTTCTTTTAGACGAAGAAATTCGGGGAAATACTTCCCGATTTCCTCATAATACTTCGTAAAATCCTCAACGAAACGACCTTCGGGGCTATCAGGATCAGGGCCATCGGTGTCGAGATCTTTGAGTTCCCCGTCCTCGCCATGAAACATGGGCATGCAGCGGACAGTAATCTTGACTTCTCCAAACAGCCAGCGTATTGTGTCGCCTGTCTCTTGAACGTCGTATTCCATTGTGTCAGCTTGTATCCATAATCGATGAACGCGATTGTGCGAGGCACCACGACTAGGAATCGAGCGCAACACTTCTTTTAAATTATTGGGAAGATCTTTGAAAAGACCCTCTGAGGTGGGTCGGAGTTGAAAGGGTGGATAGGATTGAATTTCATGACCCATGCTGAACTGCTTTAGCAGATAATCCGTGTGTAACATCGTGAACAGCATTTCCGTTCCTTCCAGCTGTTCTGGGTGGTAGATCAACTTGTTGAAGGGGTGATACGGTGTTTCTTGTGGATCGATGGCTTCTAAACTAAAGAAAGCCCCCGGTTGACTGAAAGATAATCCACCTGCGATGTCTCCCCAGCTGAGAAGTGCCGGCTGTCGATTGAAAATGTTCCAAATAGAGGGTTGCTCCACAAGAACTTTGATGGAAATATCTTTCTTGTCGATTTCCAAACCAACAATACGATAGATGTTACTTGTCGCGATAGCATCCAACAGCTTTCCGTTAACAGTTCTCCAACCAATCTTGTCACGAGCAATCATATTTGATATGAGGCGACGTTGAACCTCATCCCATGACCATCTCTTCTCGGCCAGCAGTGCAGACATGCAAGTCAAACGCAGTCCCCCATCCGTTGGATCCACAATTTCACCTATAAAAATGGTAATTTTTGGATCTATAAATGCCATGGTAGACGCAAGTGAAGTGAAGTAAAGTAATGTTAAAAGTAATGTAAGAGGGAAAGTGATGTAAAAATAATGCGATAATAAAATAATGTAATGTAAAAAAATTAATGTGGAAAGTAATGTGAATTGCGTAAGAGTGGTGTAAAAAGTACCTTGTAAACAGTGATGTAATGTG